GTTGACATTCTATGAGGTATTTCAAATTTCTGTAGTAATTCATGTAACAGCTGATTATTGAAATGAGTATCACGATCGGTAAGTATTTCTCCAGGATATCCATGTCAGCAAATTATATCTTCATACACGAATTGTACAATTGTTTTAGCATCATTATGCCTTACAGGCTTAGCTTCTAGCCACTTGCTTAGATAGTCCATAGCAACGATTATATACTTATTTTCTTTACTTGAAGCTGGTAAAGGTCAACGTAATCTATTCCAATATGATGAAAAGGTTGTCCAATTGGTATAGGATGTAAAGGTTCTATTCTCGAGGCTCTTCCTCTTTTCTGACATGAGTCACATGATTGCACATAGTTTTTAATATCTTCAAACATTTGAGGCCAATAAAAACGTTTTTTAACTTTCTCCATCATCTTTTCTTTTGAGCTATAAGCAGCAGTTGGATCATTATAAAACATGTAAAGGGCAGGTTTTAGCTCTATTTTCTTGAGTACTCTAATTGAATTACTTGGGTTATTTTTGTTGATTTTATATAATAAATTATGTTTGATAATATAATGTTTTGATAGTACAGTTAATTTATGTTATTATGTTTGATTAAAGGTAGTGGGGTAGGTTTGACTGATCAGATAATTAAATAGTTGATTATATTGTTGTATTTCTATGGTTAAGAATTAAAGCTGTTTATCATACTGTAAACACTTTCGCTTTCACTTTATTCTTTTTGTAATGTATCGATTGTTAGTTTAGTAGGAAGGGAAAAGAGATGCATTATTGATGTCACCAAAGTGAAAGTGTAACTGAGCATGAAGATTTTCTTGTTGTACTAAGAGAGGTTCATTCTACCAAAGGTTATTAGTTAAATATTCTGGTTTCATGTCTGGTTGGATTTTTTCTAAACCATATCCAATGATACAGTCATATACAATGGTTCCGTATAATAAATTTTTCTTGCATGCTTTGCAATACGTATGAACATGATGGTTTTCAGTATCACATAAGAAAGTACATTGAAATCCTCCTCTGGTGATAGGTTGTCTAGCGATTACTTGTTTAATTTTTATATTTTCATGATAAATTTCTTCTAATTCATCTTTAGAGGACTTATATCTAATGACAGTGATTAAGACAGTATTAGAGTATTATCGAGACAATTCTTCTTCAAACCATTCATCACTTTCTCCAGATTCAGGGGAAGAAATGTGCCATTTTATATTTTCTTTTGCACTAATATTTTCTTCTTCATCATCAGCCAAATCAGTTTTGATAAGATTAATAATAAAACATTCAGCGGTTTCTTTATCATATATTTGAGACAATGCGTCAGCATTTGCATTATGTTTTTCTGCTCTATGTTCTATGGTAAAATGATATTGTTGCAGTTCCATAATCCATCTAGCACGTCTCCCTTTTGGTATCTTTGAAGTCTTCAACCATTTTAAAGCAGTATGATCGGTTACAATAGTGAATGGTCGACTAAGGTAATGATGAAAATGCTTAATTGACCAGATGATTGCTAAACTCTCTAAATCAGTGATAGGATAATTTTCCTCAGTTTTGTTGGTTGATCTACTGGCATATGCAATAACATATTCTTTTCCATTCTTCTTTTGGGATAGCACAGCACCTAATCCTTTCTTTGAAGCGTCAGTATATAAGGTAAAAGGTGTTTCAAAATCTGGGTATTGTAAGATTGGTACCTTGATAAGCCTTTCCTTTAGTCGGTCAAAGGCATGTTGCTGTTTTTCTTTCCATTCAAAGGGCTGATCTTTCTTTAGTAGTAATGTCAAAGGTTTGGCGTGTCATGCAAAATCTTTAATGAATTTTTGATAGTAACCAAATAATCCCAATGCAGCATGTAGTTAAGTTAAGCTTTTTGGTTCTGGAAATTCTTCAATCTTTTTGATTTTCTCTGGATCAGGTTGGATTTCTTCTTGTCCTATAATATGTCTTAAAAATGTTAAGGAAAGTTAACAGAAATAATATTTCTTTAATTTTATCGCAAGGTGAGCATCTCTAAAAGCTTGAAATACTTGTTTGACATAGTCAACATGTAATTTAAAAGGTCCTTTCATATAGATAATTACATCGTCAAGATAGACTGATACAAATAATCCAAGAAAATCTTTAAGAATCAAATTTATGAGCCTTTGAAACGTTCCAGATGCATTGTTTAAACCGAATGGCATAACTAAGAATTCGTATAACCTATTTGCTGTGATAAAAGCAGTTTTTTTGATATCGTCAGGATGTATTGCTACTTGCCAATAGCCACTGGCTAAGTCAAGGATAGTAAACCAATTTGCTCCACCTAATGAATCCAATAAATAGTTGATTCTTGATAATGGATATGCGTCAATTTTTGTGACAGCATTGATTTTTCAGTAATCAACATATAGTCTTTTTTCACCTCCTTTCTTTCTTACAATTATGACGGGTGAGGCCCATGGACTATAAGAGGATCGAATTATACCATTCTCTTCCATTTTCTTTAATTCTTAATTCAAGAATCTTGTATTTTCAGGGTTTGTTTGATATGGTTTTTGAGCAATTGGCATGGCTGTTCCAGTATAAATACAATGTTTAATCTCGGTTGTTCGTCCTATCTCTGTTTGACTTCTTGCACAGATATCATAATATTCTCCTAGAAGATTCATAAAAGTCTGTTGTTGATGGAAATCTAAAGGTCCTAGCTGCTCCAAGTAAGTTGGATCAGTTCTAGCAGTATATCCTGCAATTTTAGCAAGATAAGCAGCTGGGTTATCTTCTGATTGTTTATTTAATTCTTCATTATCATCAGTATTCTCTTCAGATTGAATAGGAGAGTAATGATCAGACCATGGGTTGAATCCTAACTCATCGTCTAACTCTGATTCTTCTGAGTCAACATTATCAGATAAATAAATAGGATATTCTTCTAAATATTCATCCTCATATTCTTCACTTTCGTATTCATCCTCAGCTTCCTGAGTTACAACTTTAACTATTTTAGTAAATACAATAGGAATTTTCATGGTAATTCCATCTCATTTAATGGTAAGGGTGGATTGTTCCCAACTCATAATGGCGTTGGTTATTCTAAGCCAATCATTTTCAAGTATAAGGATCTCATCTTTAGATTTGAGTACTTGAAAGGATGTGGGTATCTTAATTTTCCCAATCTTTACTGATACATTGTCAATGATTCCAAGGGAACGAGTTCTTGTACTATTTGCTGTTACTACTATCATTTTTGAGGGTCGGCTAATTTTATATCCTAGTTTTTCTACTAAGGCTCTGGTTATGATACTGGTAGCAGCTCCACTATCGATAATTGCAGTTTGAGCTTTTTGTCTAATTCTCAGAGTATATTTCACAGCAGAAGTTGGTTCATCATCACTTTCTACTAAATTAGCTTCTTTAGTATCATCAGCAGCTCTTTCTCTTGAATGTCTGACAGCTCAAGCTAAACCAGAATGATATTTAGGAATGGCATGTGTAGCTTGTCCTACTGATAGTCCACATGGTAAATTTTGTAGATAGGTTGAGACATTAAACTCAGTTAGTTGTTCAATAGGAGCTGGCAATAATCTTCTTTTAAGAGTTTTTAATGTTTTTTCAGTTCTAGCTGGTTCAATTACTGGTTCTAGTGTTGGATCCTCCATATCTAGTTCTTCAACGGTTATTCTAGTTTTTGGTGGGTTTTGAGATTTTACTGGTCATCTTTTATTTTTTGACACAGCATTTCTTGGGTAAGGTCCAGATCTAGTATTTAGGTAGACCTCATATTCGTCTTTTTCATAATACTCTTCTGAAGTATATTTCTCATCATCATATCCTTCTTCATAAAATTGGTCAGCCAGATGTACATCTCTGGTATTATCATATCAGGGTCTTCTATCAGTTCCTCTTGGCTGTTGACGAGGTTGAGGGCAATATCTAGCTATGTGACCTTCCCTATTATAATTGTAACAAGTCATGGAAGACATATTTTGTCTGGATCTTTTATTAATATCATTATGGGATCGCTCTGTTCATTTCCTTGGTGGTTGTTGAGGTTGAGCTAATAAAGCAGTCATCAGATTAGCATAATTGATAGACAACTGTTCTAATTTCTTAGTAAGTTTGTCTACTTCAGTATTAGTAACCACATTTTTAGGAGTAGAGGCTGTATTGATATTAATATCTTTGGGGGCTTTTCTAGAGGCAAAATTATATCCAATCTCAATAGTTCATGCTGAGTTTACAGTAGCATCTAAATCAGCTGGATTTTGTGAGTAGACTAATGGAGTATAAGCAGGGTTTAGTCCCATAAGGAACATTCTTTTCTTTTGTGCCTCATCTGTTAATCCTACACGAGTTACCAACTTCTTGAACTTATTGGCATAGGAATCTACAGATTCATCTGTTTGCTGTCGCAGAGAAGTTAATTTCTGATACTATTGATTTTTCTTAGTTTCACTAATAAAACGAACTTCAAATAAATCAACAAAGTTTTGACCACCATTTGATCTGATATTCCAATTATCTCCCATGGCAGTGGTAACACTATTAAACCAGTCAGCCTCTGCACCTTTAAGGTTTCCTCCAGCAAGAGCTTGCTTTCTTGCTTCACTGGTCCATTTGTTGGTAATAGCAGCTCTTTCAAATACAGTGAGCCATTCTACAAGATCTTCATTTTAGCTCCTGAAAAATAGTCAACTTTGATAGTAGATTTTTCTCCTCTTTGAGCTAGTCGGAGTTGTTCACTAATATCTGTCAAGAGTTAACTATTATTTCCAAAAATCTCTTGGAAGATAGTTCTCATTTCAGCTCCTGTAACCATTGTTTTAGTTTCAACTGGGGTGAATTAGAGGATGAGGTTATTAAGCTAGATGCAGAAGGTGTTGAAGAAGCAACAAGCTGTTATAATAGTCATCGATCTGCTATAGGTCTTACTAGGTCCTATTCTAAGATTTCAGTATATACCCTTGAAGAAATAGATAAGGTAATGTACTGTTGGAAACAATTTGTTCGAAATGATATGCCTTTTACATATAAATATATTACGTCTGCTGAGAAAGGTCAAATACTATATCGAATACCAGAAAGAAGCTGATAAATAATCCTTATTAGACGAGAGTTACGATGTTCAGATTTGGGTATACCACTAAGTTGTTCAAATAAGTTAAAGGCAACGATAGTTCTTGAGGTAAATGTGTCTGCTTGGTATTCTCATTTAAGGCAATTCCAGAAATTCTTAAAGCTATTAGAAAGAGTTTCGAATAGAGGGGATGGATAACACCAATGATAAGTATAATATTGGTTAAGAGGTTCGTCTAAGTAATGCCTAACTATATGCTCTGATGTAGTTCTCTCAAGTTCCTCAAAATTCATACACCTCGCTAGTTCT